TGTCTTTGACTGTACACAAAAAAATTCAAACCCTCCAAGAATTGGAGAACAGGTCAGATCTTCCTGGCCCCAAACAGAACTGTTCATATCAATTTGGCTTCTTCTAATCTGCTTTGCAGGCCGTTCTACAGCTTGAGGGTTATTGATTGTGATTGGCAGGATTTTCAGTATGGTTCCATGTGTTACAGGTTTTAGATCCTGGTTGCTTCTGTTCTTGATATGGTCGGCCAAGGAAAGGGTGTTTGGAATGGAGGGGGGAGATGTTGTGGAGAATTAAATGGGGTGGTTATTGTGTGTGTGCGTGTATATGCTTATAGTGAGATGTGAGATGGGCTCTGCAAAGCTCCAAGACACAAGACATAGCCTTCCTTTGTTGCAATGCTGAAAAAGCTCTTGGCTCAGCTACGCAACTCCTATGTCATTTGGGATAGAGGCCTTTCGTCAGCATTGACCCCGAGGGGTGCTTTTCTTCAACAAGGAGATCATTCCTGCTAAACCAGAATACCAAATAGAAACAGAGTTGGGACCTTGAAGGTCTTCCAGTCCAACCCCCTGCTCAAGCAGGAAACCCTCTACCATTCCAGGCAAATGGCTGTCCAGTCTCTTCTTAAAAACTTCCAGTGTTGGAGCACCCACAGCTTCTGGAGGCAGGTTGTTCCATTGATTAATTGTTCTCTCTGTCAGGAAATGTCTCCTTTCTAGCTTGGATCTCTCCTTGATATTTTACATCCATTGTTTCTTGTCTTGCCTTCAGAAGAGTGCTTTGGAAAATAAGTTGACCCCCTCTTCTTTGGGCAGTCCTTCAAATATTGGAACACTGCTATCATGTCACTCTTAGACCTTCTCTTCCTTTGATTAGACATACTCAGATAGACCCAGATGGACCCAGAATGCCACCATCTCCCAGCTTCTGGAACCCTGCTGTAGGTGTGTAGACCCAGATGGACCCAGAATGCCACCATCTCCCAGCTTCTGGAACCCTGCTGTAGGTGTGTAGACCCAGATGGACCCAGAATGCCACCATCTCCCAGCTTCTGGAACCCTGCTGTAGGTGTGTAGACCCAGATGGACCCAGAATGCCACCATCTCCCAGCTTCTGGAACCCTGCTGTAGGTGTGTCAGCTCAGCCAGCTTCCTGGAGGTCCAGAGTGAAATGAACCCACCACTGGGAGTTGCAGCAACCTGCCTTGAAAATGAATGGGACAGCTTGGCTTGGCCATACGACACACTAACTTGGTACTAGACATTGGTGGGAGTGGTGAGGTTCCCCTCCCAGCCCCCTGGAAACCTCCAGATGTGGCCCTCAAGTTTGAAGACTCCATCCCTTGAGCCAACACTGGGAAACTTCAGCAAACATCTGGGAAAGCTCCAGAAGGATTTAGAAAAGTAGCCCGGAGGAGATCTATTTTTGGTAAGAAGGCAAAGCGCATGCTAAAAATAAAGGACCTTTCTCTGTCACTCTCCCCCCTCCCACTTTGGCATTACTGAAGTTCTCACACTGGAAAATCTTAGTCCGGACAGGAAAAGAAGGCTGATCCTAGAATTTCAGAGGAAAGTCTGAACAGGGATTGTTCCCAGCATTGTTCCCTGAAAAGGTATAGAGACTGCAAACATTCTGCAAACTTGTGAAGACTGCAAACATTCCTTGTGCGGTCCAGAGCTGCTAAACCTTTGGCTATAGACCAATGCTTCTCAACCTTAGCAATTTTAAGACGTGTGGATTTCGACTCCCAGAATTCCCAGCCAGCTATATTGGCTGGGGAATTCTGGGAGTCGAAGACCACACGTCTTAAAGATGCTAAGGTTGACAAATTCCACTCTAGGACTCTTGTTTAGCCTTTTAGAAATGTTCTTTGCAGCTGGTTAAATCCCCACCAATCCCCTAGAATTTCCAGTGATGTGAAATGTAGTATACTGAGCAGAAACAGTTGCAGACCATCGCTTAGACCCTTTCTGAACCTCTGGCTCCACATCTCTGGAGTTGAGCGATTTCATTGGTTGCCATCCTTGGCCCCACCCCAATCTACTTTAAGCTCCACCCTCAGAGTCCACTTGCTCTGCTCCATGCCCGGCCAGAGAGCCAGAATGCTTCATCACCCAGAAATAATTCATTTTCATACCAAAACTGCTCAACCATCAGCCATGCAAAATGCCGGAGACTTTGATGATGCTGTTTTTCCAACACGCCCTTCAGAGGGCGATTGAATCACTCGCTTTCTGCACTTGTACAAAATCTTGAACCATAAAACAGCCCAAGAGGCCAATTTTGCACAGCCTATAAATCACACGTGCAGAAGTAACCGAGATTAGACAAGGTGAACACCAACTGAGCGTTACGGACGGTACAAAGGGAGCTATTGACTCGATGAAGTGTATGGCTTGGATTTTATGTGGTTTTTCTGGGTCCCCATTTTTGTTTTAAAGCTGGGGTTCAACTCACTTTGCTACATCACCCAATTCATTGAACGGCCTTTGCGCTCCAGCTGCCAAAAGGTTGCACCCAGTTGCCGTCACTTGCTCCCCTCTTCGTTCGGACAGTTAAAAGTACTCCAAATCTTTATATTTTAAGAAATTTGAGATGTGGGACGAGTGGAGAATGATAGAGAGGGGAAAGATATGCACAGAAACATTTATTGCATGGAGAAAATGTAACCAAATGGACCAAATCTCTTCATAGAAACAAAAATGTAGAGTACAAAACTTACAAACCAGGTTAATTATGAAGTTAAACTTGGCCATCAAATGCAACTCTGAGCTCAGGGTGCCCCCTAGTGGATGGAACCCTCCATGCTCTGTTACAGCAAACCTCAACTCATGGGGGCAGGGGCCCCCTTCTGAGCAATTTCTTCAAATTAGGCTAGAATATACCACATTTTCTTCAAAGTTCTCTTGCAACTTGACCACTTCGAGGATAGACCCACTGCGAGGATAGACCCTCTGCAAGGGCTGCTGCTAAAGGCTGGGTTTTCACAGGAGAAGACAAGGGACATCATGAAGTTACAGATTGCATAATGTTAGGATGATGGCATCACGAAGCCTGTGATTTCATATTGTATTGGCTTGCATTGGATGCTTATGGGATGGCTAGTCAATTTGATAGCCACTCAAGTGTTTCTCAACCTTGGCAACTTTAATACAAGGGGACTTCAATTCCCAGAATTCCCTAGCCAGCATATATTCTGGAGAAGGGTAGTTGAAGCAAACTTTGACTTAATATCTGAACCAGCCCTTATTTTGTAGCTATCAGAAGATGCAGACCAACCCAAGATAATGATGGCCAGTTCATCTTCTGGGTACCAAGAGTGACTGCGGGAGCTTGCTAACCTTTCTCTCTTTGGGGAGGGTTGAAATAAGTTTCTCTTATTTCATCTTGGAGGGAGGGGAAAATGGTCAACTCTCATCCTTGCAAGACCCCAGAGAGAGAAGAGGGTGGGAACAGGCCCACTCCTCCCCAGCGGCTGATGTGAGTAGGGAATTCATCCCTTTTGGGGGTGGTGCAAAACATGGAACTGTGAACTAGCCAGACTGAGTTGGCCCAATAGACTTAGAGAGGCACAGATAGGCAGAACCCAGCGAAGGCTTGTGTGCCATATAAGCTTGGTTGTCTTTTATGAATGCAGCTTTGATTTAAAGCAGGGCTGCACCTTGGTCAAGACCAGCAGCCAAATTCTTTGAATCACATTCTGGAGGCTACATTCCAAAACACGTGTGGAGAGCCAAGACAAAAAGAATCTTTTGGCTGGCTTTTTCATTTCACATGGATGTTTTCAATTAAATGGAAATACAATATAATTCAGTATACTTAATACCAGATCAGAAGATGTGGAGAATCTTGGCCCATCAAATTACCAAGAGTTGGACACAACTGAATGGATAAACACATCATTATCATCATCACCTATTTCACATCTTCTATAATTTTTCTCCCGGTCACCTTTTGAGAAGGCCACAACCCGAATCTTTTTTAAGAAGGCCATTTGTGCCCCTGGAGTTCAGATGGCCCAGCACTGTTCGGGCGCCATGATTTCCATAATTGTCATGAGGATTTCAGTTCCTGCACTCCTCCCCATAAAACCTCTGAAATCAGGAAGGGGCCTCCTGGCCAAAGAGGGATTGGAAATTAAACCTCTTTTGCTTTTAATGGAGAAAGCCGAAGAATGGGCTGAAAGTATCAGCTCCACCCTTTGGAGGACTTCTGAGGTCAGGGAAGAAAGAGGTGGGATGGAGCTCCCTTCCTTTACAAGAGAGCCCTCGACTTACAACCATTTGTGTAGCAACGGTTACAACGGCACCAAAGAAAGTGATTTTCAACTGGCATGTATTTGCAACAGTCACAGCATCCCAGGGACATCCGATCACCTTCCTAGCCAGTTTCTAACAAAGTAAAATGGGAGAAGCCCGATTTGCATGAACCATTTAGGCCTGCAGTGATTACTAAACAATGGTGACACAAATGGCTGTAAAATGGAGCCACTTCACAACCGCTTTGCTTAGCAATGGAAATGTTGGTGGTAAGCAGTGGTGGAATTCAAATACCTGAACAACCGGTTCTCTTATTCGATGCAGGCCTGGCCTTCCCAGGTCTAGAACGGATTTCCAGAAGTGGCATCCATGCACTTCTGGTGGATCATTCTAGGCCTGGGAGGCCTCCTTCAGGCCTCCGAGGCCTAGACTGGACTTCTGGAAACCAGCCGGTTCTCCGAATGCAGCAAAATTTAACTACCAGTTCTACCGAACTGATGCAAACTGGCTGAATCCCACCACTGGTGGTAAGTCAAGGACTATCTGTATCAAGGTGATGCTGGAGAAAAGTACTGGCTTCTCTGCGGTGCCCCAGGCCACCCGGAATTAACGGAAACCTGTCCCCCCCGAATCTCCTGGTCTCAATGGGGTCAGCTAAAGGGTGTTGCACCCGCAGGCCAGGAAGGGACCCGGGGCTGTTGATGCAAACCAGGGCATGATGTGAGACGTCAGGTTGCCAGCTTTTCCTGGGCTGCCTCTCAAGCAAAGACGGGGGAGTTTTGCCAGTAGGAGTACACGAGGAACCCTGTGAAGATGCTGTCAGTTTTCACACTGGAGTAGAAGCCGGTGTACTCGCCCACCGCCACCTGCACCCAGACCTCATCCTCCGGCTCCAGACGCACCAGGCTGCCTCCGGACAGGGATGTCGGCTTGGGCCAGTTGCCGTAAAACTGGAAGAAGGAAGCGACCGACTTGCCGTTCTTCATGATGTCGAACTGAAGGCTCATCCGGTAGACGGTGGCGTGCACGGCGAAGTAGTAGAGCCCCGGGATTTCGCAGAGGAACTTGCCAGTGTTGCTATTGTAGTGGCCTTGCTCATTAATCAGGACGATGTCAAAGACGATGGGCTCGTCGGGCAGAGGGGGGCTGCGGGACTCAGAGCGCTTGGCGCTGAAGGCCGAACGGGGCGCAACTGCACACTCCCCCTGGGCCCCCTTCTCTCCCAGGAGCCCGTTGGTGCCAGGGCTGCCTGGCTCCCCTCGGGGGCCTGTCAGTCCTTTTGGGAGAAAAAGTAAAAGCAGAGTGAAGGTGAGAGCAAGAATGGAAGACGGAGCAGGAGTGCGTGGCTCTTGAGAGGTTGGATTAAACATAGGAGAAGGAAGGAAGGAAGGAAGGAGAGGAAGGAAGGAAAGGAAGGAAGGAAATGGGAATGAAAAGGAAGGAAGGAAAGAAGGAAGGGAAGGAAGGAAGGAAAGAAGGAAGGAAGGGAGGGAGGAGATGGAAATGAGGGAAAGGAAGGAAGGAGATGGGAATGAATGAAGGAAGGAAATGGGAATGAGAAGAAGGAAGGAAAGAAGGAAGGAAGGAAGGAAGGAAATGGGAATGAGAGGAAGGAAGGAAATGGGAATGAGAGGAAGGAAGGAGATGGGAATGAGAGGAAGGAAAGAAGGAAGGGAGGGAGGGAAGAGATGGAAATGAGGGGAAGGAAGGAGATGGGAATGAGAGGAAGGAAGGAAGGAAAGAAGGAGGGAGGGAAATGAGAGGAAGGAAGGGAGGGAGAGAGGAAAGAAGGACTATGAAGGTGGAATAACAATTGCAGCACATATTTAACCTGAGTCTGTAATATCCAAATGAGGTTCATCCACAGGGGTCAAAAAAGTCAAGTCCACTCTCTGAAGCCTCACCTCTTTATAAAAAAGGGGGGGGGGTGTTCTTCAGTTGTGCATTCACCCCCTCCCCATCCTGATGCATAGACCCCTCTCCACCTAGTGGTGTTTGCCAATGCAATTATCTACCTGTTACACACTATTGTTTTTTTCAAAAATGATTTGCATTTGTCCTTCTCCTGCATTTGTTTTCCCTTCCTTTGCCTGGGAGACACTTAACGTCTTTTTTTCTGGATCTATGCATGTAGATTTGATGCATGTCCCGTGTTCATTTGAAACCTCTTTCCTATATTGGAAACCTGTCATTACATTTTTGTTCTTATTTTTTCCCCCCAGCCCTTGGGTGCAGAGGCATTCCCTCAGGAGATGCTGGGCTTATGAATAACATCTTTTCTCACTGATTTCTACCCTTAAATTGGGGGTCCCCAGCACTGGGCATTGCTGAGACAACAGCCCGATTTGGAAAAAAACAAATTTATAAATTTATGCAACCCAGCCTGCCCCACAATCCTTAAACGATTTGATCCCAGCAGAAAAGCCAACTGATTTTCCATCCCTTTTCTTACCTGGATGGCCAATTTCGCCCTTCTCTCCCTGCAGGCCTGCAGCCCCATCTCGTCCATCACGACCGTCCCGGCCGGGCAAACCCTGGTGGCCGTGAGTTCCAGGGGTCCCAGGGAGACCCGGCTGCCCTGCACACAAGCTGGGGATCTTGTTGTCTTCCAAGTGAGCCGCCTCCTTGGCCAGGGCGAGGAAGAAAAGAAAGCGGGAGAGCATCTGCTCCATGTTCCTGAGGCCTGAAGAATCAGAAGAATCACAAAGTTGGAGACCGTAAAGGTCATTTAGATCAGGGCTTTTCAACCTTTTCACCCATTGTACCACTTTTAGGATATGGCAATATCCGAGTACCACCAGTCGCCTAGCAAGGTGTCAAAAGCTTGATGACCAAAAAAAAAGGAAAAAAGTGATGAAGTACAGGTAGTTCTCGACTTCCAACAGTTCACTTAGTGACTGTTAAAATGGCACTGAAAAAAGTGCCCCCCAAGCCACAGCCGGGAAAGACACCTGCCTGCCCGCCCAGTGGCGCTCTTCCTCCTGTCCGAGATTTTCATTGTTGTGAGCATTTCTGTTGAGGATTGGCAGCGGGGGTGGGGTGGGGGGGGTTATTCCCCCCGTCTGCTGGGTGGTTGCAGCAGGTTTTGGTCACTTCACATGACCCTGGGATACTGTGACCGTCATAAATATGAATCAATTGCCAAGCATCTGAATATAAATCACAAGACCCTGGAGATGCTGCAACATTCCAGCTGATTGGCACTTCTTCTGGGCTCAGCAGAAGCGCCAGGATCAGCGCCGGGCTCCAGCTGGATCCTGGCGCTGATCCTGGCGCTTCCACTGAGCCCTGACAGCCCCAAAGCGCTGATCCTGGCGCTTCTGCTGAGCCCTGACAGCCCTGCAGCTCCAGCCATCTCTCGCTCAGGCTTGTGCGGTACTGCCACCGGTTCAGCTCATTCCCCTCCCCTGCTACTTTTCTAGGATGGTCGCGTACCACCTGCCAGGTGCCAATGTACCACAGGTGGTACCCGTACCACTGGTTGAAAAAGCCTGATTTAGAGCAACCCCGGTGTGTCTGGGGGTGTCATATTTGCATCAAAGGCCTAATCTTAGGATTAGCCCTGGCTGCTGTTATTGGAAAGTGGAAGAAGGAGAGGGGGGGGGGTGTCATTGTTTAACATCCAGGTGCCAGGTTTGTGTCCTGTGTATGTTTTGTTTGTGTGCATGTGTTACAAGTTTGTGTGTGTGAAAGTGAGTGCGAGTGAGTGTGTGTGTGTGTGGGGGGGCACAATAGCACTGTTTCTGCATGTCTGAATGCATTGATTTCTGTTTTTAAAAAAATCAATTGTCTACCAGGCAGTGTTTGAGAGTTTTTGATTAATTCATCAGGAAAAGCAGGGTTCCACTAAACACACGCAGAGTGCCTTTTCCTTTAAAAGGACAGGAGAGCATCTCCGCCTCCTCCAGATTGGAGTTTAAAGGCTTTCCTGGCAGGTCAGATTTCCACCAGTGCCTCTCCTGGCATAAATTAACCCAAACATTGAAATTTACAAAAAGTTTGATGGGAGAGGAAGAGGAAACCAATGAGGACTCCTTGACACACAACCCCCCCTTTCCCAAAATGCCTTCCAGCCAATCAGGGCTCCCTGGCATATTCTTTTCCCCCCCTTCGCCCCCCAACTACACGTGATGTCCTCCTTGCGAGCTTTGGCATCGCCTGGCGCTTCGGATGTTTCTGCATTTCCTGTGCTGAGTTTCAAGGCACAAGAAGCGAGGAGCTGGCTGGGAAGAGCCGGCTCTGTTTCCCGATAGCAGCTGAGGAAGATTCGGGGGGGGGGGGGGGAGAAACGACACACTGTGATGGCATTCAAATCAAATCAACTGAGAGAGAGAGAGAGAGAGAGAGGGAAGGAGGAAGAAAGGAAGAGGAGGGAGGGAGGAAGGAAAGAAGGAGAAAGGGAGAGAGAGGGAGGGAGGGAGGGAAAAGGAAGAAAAAGAAGAAAGAAAGAAAGAAAGAAAAAAAGAAAAAGAAAGCCTGTGGTTTTCTTTCAACCATTCTTGGTCTGTCTAATTAAGTCTCTCTTGCCCCAGGTCCTACCTGGCAGGGAGGTGAGGATGCTAAAAAAAATTGGGGGAAAATCAAGCAGGTGCCCTTAAGTTCTGCAGATAAAGGAACCGATGAAAGAAAGGTCAGAATGGGTAAGATCTGAATCTCTTATATTGGGGGGGGGGAGAAGAGGGTCCTGAGGGAGTCATACTTAAGGACAAAGCAAACGCCAGAAGCCCCTTTTCTCCTGCACTTACTTTCCTTGCTTAATCCCCCTCCGAGATGCTGTGTGATCAGCAAACCAATCAGCAAACTTTCTCCTTTTTCGGGGGGGGGGAGTGTACAAGACCGGGACCCCTGCCCACCCCTGTCAGAAGACCCTCTTATCCAAAGCAAGGTAGCCTCAGCAAAATCCAAACCAGCCTTGTGCTCCCATCTTTTCTGATCAGCCTAGCTGGGAATGATGGGCTCTGCAGTCCATACCTCCAGAAAACCCCAAACTGGGAAAGGTGGCCTCCTGCAGCCCCCCAAGAGGCAGGATGGGGAGGAAAAGGGACCTCCAGCCCCAGCAGTGTGTGGGGGGGTCTCCTTTGTACATGCACAGATTTGGGGACAGATTCCCCCTTACCTGGTTTCCCTTTGGGGCTTTTGTCTCCTTGCTTCTCCCCGGGAGGAATGGACTCTCCGACCGGCCAGCTGGCTGCTTGAGGGCCTCTAGTGAGCTCCGCCGGCCGGCCTTCCCCCCACCCCCAGCTCCCCCCCTCCTCCTCCTCCTCCTCTCTTGGTCTCTCCTCCCAAACTTGCAAAGGAAACGGGAGACTTTGCCAAAAGCTACATTGCCAAGGAAGGGATGGACGGGGGTTTGAGCGGCGCAGCCGGGACACTGGGCGGGTGTGTGTGTTTGTGTGTGTGTGTGGGGGGGTGAATAGGCATCCCAGCTGGATGTCCCTGGGATAGGTCAGAAGGAGAAGAGAAAGGAGTAAGGGGGGAGGGGGTCAAGGATATGGGAAAAAGTCATGGACAAAGGGAAACCCTCAATGAAAATCTGTGTTTCTCAACTACGGTCACTTTAAGACCTGTGGACTTCAACTCCCAGAATTCCCCAGCCAGCTTTGAAGTTTGAGTTGAAGTCCACAGGTCTTAAAGTGGCCAAGGTTGAGAAACATTGAAATACAGGGTTGAGGATGTCAAGGAAAGGGGTGAAACACGGGGTCCCTTAGGGGTGCTTGCCCTTCCAAATCAACTTTGTCCTGTTTGTGATGGGTTATTACCCCTGCGGAGACCCCACGAAGGGCTGGAGTTACCTAATATTGTGTCCCTTGTTGAGAAAACACAGTGGCACAGTTTCCTATCCCATGCATTGCCCTAAATCAACCGTCTTCATGTTTTGTGTCATGCCCTGGTCATAGAACGTGCTACAATCACAGCAGGATTTTAACCACAAGCTCAGCCATAAACAACACAACCCTGTTGTAGCGTGCGCACACAGCTGAGGTGTGCCGGAGTTTACACAGAACGGTGTCTGCTTTTCTGGGCATCAGCTGCGAGACCACCACCACCGAGCATGGGAAGAGGGCCTTTTGCTTACGGAGCGAACACAAGAAGCTTCTCAATGTGCATAGAAAAATAACGGGAAGCTTTTCCTGGCTGTGAGTCCAAGCAGGGTGGGGTCCCAGCATAAACACACACAGATTTCTGTCTGCAAGCAGGGAGTCTAGCACCGAACATCCTCCCGCTGAACAGAAGCAAGGAATGAAGCCTTGGAAACTGCTGAATGTAGGTTGTCAAGAGAGATTTTTGCCTTGGGTGTGTAAATGTGCGTAAGTGCATGCATACCTGCTTTCAATCAATGAGTTAAGATCAATCAATCAGAATAGAGTTGGAAGGGATCTTGGAGGTCTCCTAGTCCAGCCCCCTGCTTGAGTAGGAGACCCTTACTATTTCAGACATCACTGTCCGGTCTCTTCCTAAAACTCTCCAGTGATGAAGCACCCACAATTTCTGAAGGCAAGCTGTTGATTGTCCTCACTGTTAGAAAGTTTCTCCTTAATTCCAGGTTGCTTCTCTCCTTGATAAGTTTCCATCCATTGTTTCTTGTCCTGCCTTCAGGTACTTTGGAAAATAAATTGACCCCCTCTTCTTTGTGGCAGCCCCTCAAATACTGAAAGACTGCTATCCTGTCACCTCTAGTCCTTCTTTTCTCTAAACTAGCCAAACCCAAGTCCTGCAGCCATTCTTCATATAGTCTCCAGGCCTTGGATCATCTCAGTTTCTCTTCTTTGCACTTTTTCCAAAGTCTCAACATCTTTTTGTAATGTGGCAGCCAAAACTGGGTGCTTCTGCAGCATAGCTGCCCCCTCCATTTTTTCCCATGCCCCCCTTTGTCTGCCAATCATCAATATCTGACGTTCAGCCTTGGAGGAACTGAAATGGTGGCATTGACATGAAATGTTGCAGAGGACAGGGGATCCTGTCAGCCCCTCCTTCCCGTTCAGGCAACTGGCAGGCCACGAACACTGGACCTGGTCAGGCTTCATAGCTCGGTTAGCCCGTAATGTGCTGCTTGGATGCTGCTCCCATACTCTTGCAGGACACCTGGAAGTCATTCATTTGACCTTGCCCTGAATGAGGGAGGTCTGGACCTTTTCTCCCCTTAAGCCAAGAAATAAAATCCATGCCCCTTGCTGGCTGACACATAGGTCACTCGGTGTCATGTGTGTGCCACATATATCACACGTGCCTGTTCCACTATCAGCAGCCGGGACTGCTTGGTTGTATTTTTTTATTGCTGCATATGGCAATCAAGAGACGTTCTGGGTGTTTTTCAGCTGTGATAGCAACATCTGGATGAGGTCACTCCCTAACCATTGCAGACGCTGCTGTTGCCAGCTGTCTCCATGAAACTCCTCCCTGCTGTTGAGTGTGTGTCTCTGTGTGTTTCCCAGATGGGTGCATTCTTCTACTGAGGTCAGTGGAGAGACATCAGATGGGCAAGGCAGTTCAAGCTGTTGACCAGAAAGGAGTCCAGGTCCCCCCCCCAGTTTTCTGACCCCTTGCTCGACACAAGAAACAGAAAAAAAAATTCAAAAGGAGGCAAATTTGGCTTCTCTGAGTTCAGTCCTGCAGAGAGAGACTGCGTAGGTGAAGTCAGATTCCCCTTTTCTCAAAAGAAAATTTGGAAACGCTTTTGGTTCAGAGAGGCTTAAGAGAGAGACCTGAAATTGAAATATGTGTGAAATCACAACCCAGTTTTTAAAAGGATCCGCTTTCATGATGCCAGAAAATGTCGCAGCTTCTATGATGTTATAATTACTTTATTATTGTTATTATTATTAATTTTAAATGAGTTTATAAAGCATAATTGAAGTGGAAGCCTCTTCAGAGGGAGACTGCCTGGCTGCTGTGGGCCGATCTTGAAAAGAGCTAAGCAGGGTCAGTCCGTCGTTGGGCATCATACTTCACGCGAGGCTGGGAAGGTGAAAAACCTCCCAGAAGATTTTCGGTTTTGCCAATAACACATCACAGATATTCCTGCAAAATCAGTGGGAGTTGAGAGAGATTGTCCGACTGCACAGCCATCGGCTAATGGAAAAGGCTGGCCCGTGAACTGTCGGGAAGTCGGAGGGTTATCTGTCAGAGATGACTTAGTGGAAGTTAGATCCCTTCCAACTTCATGATCTAGGATTCTCGGACAGAGAGATCCTGGATCCACTTCAATCTATCATTTGATAGAGGCAGAAGTGGAGTCAAGAAGGAGAGTCAATGCAGAGGACTTCAGGAGCGATTCCCTGGAGATACTTTGGGGAGCAAACCCATAATGGTTTGCTGCGAGATGAACAGATCAAAAGGTCTCCTGGACTGGGACGTCTCCTGGCTGCCTCCAACAGGCCTTCCTCCCTCCTTCTGGGCTGGGCACTGGGTGGGTGGGTGGGGGCCCTCAAGGCAAGAAGCACTCCAGAGGGTTGGTGGAGTCAGGCAGGATGTTGCAGTTCAAGGGCCAGAGGATGTCCAAGCGGGCCAGGGGCTTCCGGCAGTGCTCCTCTGCCCCCAGACACACAGAGCGACAGGGCTGCAAGGTGCCCCCTTCTGGGATGCACTTCGGGACGAAGAGGCTGCAGATCAGCAAGCGCAGGTGAGGGTAGCACCTGAGGTCCCGCAGCACCTGAAAATGAGGAGGGTGAGCTCTGTCAGGGGCTGGAATTTAGGAATTCCTTTGTTGTGGGTCTGAGCTTCTATGCACAGCACCAGCTGGACCACCCTCTTGAGGGACCAACACAATCACACAATTCACTAATGAAGAGAGTCCTTTGTTAGATTTCCTAGAAGTCATCCACTGAGCCCAACTTAAATTGTCCATGTGTTGATAGGGATGAAAGTTTGGAATTTGCTCTCCATGTGACACCCACTCTGGAGATCGCGAGTCTCTCCCCAAGGGTGAACCCCTTTCCCCCTCTCTCAACCTTCCTGCCAGCCCAAGTCTGCCCTTGGCCTCACCATGTAGTCTTGAAGCAGTGCCTCAGCACTCTGCTGATGGGGGATCATCAGCCAGATGTTGGGGAAGGAGGTGGAATTGTAGCTGAGACCTTGGCACATTTCTATCTTGATGGGTTCACAGGAGGCCTCTGCTAGTGGTGGGAGAGAAGACAACATCTCAGAGAGTAACCAAAATACAATTGTACAGAGTTAAGTTGCCCTCTGCTTTTGGGGGAAGGGGACTAACTGCATTGAAAATGAACATTTGTGAAAAATGGAGCCAGGTTCTCCAGAATTCACACATTGGATCTCCTGTTGGTTTTTAGGTTCTGCTCAACATCTTGGGACCAGCCAGCTGAAGGCCAGGAGAAAAAGGAGGATGGTGGGCTGGGTGGGAGAGAGAGTGTAGTTGACCCACCTAGGATGTTGGGTTGAGGTCACAGGTGAGGCCTGAACTGCAGACATTGCAATGCATAGTTCTGCAAATTGGCCAATGAAGACAGCTTGGTCCACGTAAGAGGACATTACTCACCCACTGATGTGGAAGAAATGCTGGTACAGTTGACTTCGTCACTTCCATCTGGACAGTTCCTCCAGCTGTCACAAACGAAATCCTGGGCCACACACTCGCCATTTCCACAGACAAATTCTAGAGGTCCACATGTTTCTTGCACAGGATGATGGATGGGCAGGTAAAAAGAGAGAAGAATTTAGAGAAAAGAATTCCCTGGACTTTTAAGATCAGTATTTCTCAACCTTGGCAGCTTGAAGATGGGTGGACTTCAACTCCCAGAATTCAAGGCTGGCTGGGGAATCCTGGGAGTTGAAGTCCACCCATCTTTAAGCCGCCAAGGTTGAGGAGCATTGCTTAAGATGGTGAAGATGTCTGCCCACATTGCCTTTCTGGCCTTTCTCTTTGAAGCCAGAGATTCCCAGAACAAATCCAGATTATTTTTGTGCCTTGCTTGAAAATAGCCACCTCAATTCTTCAGTTGAAAAAAAAACCCAGAGCATCTGGAAAAATGCACTGCAAATAGGACAGGCACAAAGCTCGGCCTTAGCATAACCTGTTGGCCCCAGCACGGCCAGGAAACCCTTCACAAGTGTTTGTTCTCCACTTAGATTCATCAATTTGAAGTCATGGATTCATTGATGCCAGACTGCCGCCTCCTTAATCTCAGCTGAGGTCCTGCAGAGGTGGCTGCCTGCAGCAGTGATTTATTAACTGTTGAGAACCTGGCCTGCAAGTCTAGCAGCCATGCACGAAAGTTAAAAATTAATGTTTGTATCTTTCAAAGCCGCATTCTAGGCCACAGTTTACAGAAGGATGAACATTTTGTCCGATTAGATCATCTGCCTACATGGCAGGCACCTTTAACACTTCTGCTGTGACTTTTTGGCCAACACTATCCACTTATGCATTGCTTAAAAAAAGGAGAAAGGAATGGAAGGAAGTGCATCACGCCTTCAAGAGAATACCAGGGAAGATACCAATTTAGGCTATGCCCTTGTTAGTGATTTGTACCATTTTATTGTGTTGTTCAGCTACCCCTTTGGTAATTTATCATAGAGCCTTTATATTGGCTGAAGGGATGGTGGGGTGATGACCTTTGTTTAAGCAAGGTAGATAACATGCTGATATCAATTCATATGCCTGCTGAGAATTGGAGATGACTTTTTTTGCTTTTGAGATTGGGCAACATCTGTATCAAGAATTTGCACCATTATCTATCCACCCTTCCATCTACCCACCCACCCACCCATCTACTCATTCACCAATCCCTCCATCCACCCACTCATCCCTCCCTCCCTCTCTCCCTCCCTCCCTCCCTTCATCCATCCATCCATGCATCCATGCATCCATGCATCCATCCATCAACAGCAGTGCTTCTCAACCTTGGCCACTTTAAGAGGGGTGGATTCCCAACTCCCAGAATTCCTCTGGGAACAAGGCTGGCAATTGGAGTTCACACATCTTAACAGTCGCCAAGGTTGAGAAACACTGATTTGTCTGTCTGTCTTTCTATTCAATTGTGTAATGGATACATACTCTTTCTGCTTATATAAACACAACCCCACTCATCTTGTGGGTGGGGAGGAGTTTCTCCCTTCTCAGAAGGCCTTTTTAATTTGCCTGGGAAAATGGAACAATAATTACAGGAATCAAGAAACCAGAACTGTGTTCCATCTCAGAAAGAACAGGGCTTGTGAACAAGCAACCACAATGCTCCTCATGAGACTTGGATCACGTTCAACCTTTCCCTGCTTGGCTGGGTCACCTGAATAATTTATGTCCCTTGGCTGAGTCCCCTCTCTTGATGGGAAAACCCTCAGCACAGAGGGAAAGATCCAGCCATGGACATTTTTAAAAAACGCAGTTAGAAGGTATGGGAGTCTTTGAGTCAAGGAAGAAGTTGTTGGCTGTTCTTTCTGGAGGGTCCTTGTTGCTGTCTAAGATTTGTCATCAGGGTTAGAACGGAGTGGGGTTTGTGGTGGGGAGAGGAGGAGGAGGAGGAGGGCTGTGGAGTCCTTGGTGCTCTCTGAGCTTGGTGGTTTTCTTGCAGATGTTTCATTACCCTACTAGGGAACATCATCAGTATACTACTACTGTCACATAGTTGGGTAAAGAAATGTCTGCAAGAAAACCACCACGTTCAGAGAGCGCCAAGGACCCCACAGTTCCACCCTGAGCTACAAATATCCTCTTCTCTTCTTTCTGCATTTTGTTTTTGTTTCCGTTTGGTTTATTTCCCAGGACAGCTTACCTGTCCAATCACTAACCCTGCTTAACTTCCAATTCCAGGTCAGATCTACCCTACTTATTTGGGGTAAGGTGCGAGCAGATAACTGGCTGCATCCTTTAGCCTCAACGGATTCCCCCATTACCTACTTTCACTCAGGTTGTGGGCCCGGTAGATAGCAAAGAACCCATCATCCCCAATCTCCTCATCAGCCACGAACAGGACGGTCATGACGTGATGGGATGAAGTCAACACAGGAGGCATATTGGAGTTGCAGAACCTGCAGGGAGCAGGAAGGTTGAACTTAGTTCTGGAAATGTGAGGCAGGTCAATGCAACCAGGAACCTGGAGCCAAAATGAGTGTGCCCACCTGGATTATTCCACAAGGAGCACAGAGGGGTGGGTGAGTGTGCAAGATGACTTACTCACCGACCCATGAGGTTGCTGGTCCCCATGGCAGCACTGTCATACACCTCCACAAAGTCGAAATTGCAATCTTCGTGGGACTCAAGGCTGAAGTTGTAGAATTGCAGCTGGATCACATGGCCCATGGGCACAGAGATGTGCCAGAGACAGATCTGGAAGAGAAGAAAAGTCCGGGAGATGAGCAGAGAGAGGCAGGATGGGGAGCTCCATGCTAAGACAGAGTGGTGTTACAAGGGGGGGTGGTGGTGGTAAAAATCTGGAAGAAAGTCCCAAGCCTTTTCTCCTAGCAGCCCCCTAGGTTTCTTTGAACATGCACGTGTCATTGGATGGGGGAAGAGGGGCATCAACACCAAGACCGGAAGCCGTGGGAACTGGACCTCTTGTCTTTTTTGGGTTTGAATCTTCATCGACGTGACCATGAAGAAGTAATCCAAAAGAGAGCCGGGACGGAAGGGTTTGGGTTTTTTTGACTACAGGATCTTGGGTATGGGGCTGGGTTTTTTCCCCCTACTCAGACTCCATCATAATATGAGGCCCATTTTTTTAAACAACCAAGGTTTAAATTTCCAAGTCAAAATTTCTCAGGCTCAAAATTTCTATCTATTGTATCTATCTGTCTGTCTGTCCGTCCATCCATCCATCCATCCATCCATCCACCC